AGCTTAAGAGATAGTGTAGCTCGACTCCCAGCTTAGGAGATACTAAGAGAAGGTGGCGCTTCAGAGCCGTTGTCTCTTTTTATCTCTTGAGCTGAAAGTCGATTTACACTAATCTAACCCAGAAAAAAAAACGTTCGTTCCATATTTAAACTGATCGCAACTCGAAAGAATATAGCCTACCGTAACACCAATGATCTTCACACGTTCGATCGACATGAATTGCATCACCAATGTCCAGTAAAACTTCGTCGGAATGTCTGTAATCTCTCATTTACTTCGTCACTTATATGGAGTGATAACCAACTCTGACCTTGGAATGAAAGCAGATTGGGCTCTGTGGGTAGGATTTAGACTGTCAGACGTTGTGCACGAAGAGATACCGCTCGAGTCGTCTGGAGAGAAGAAAGCTGCAACAATGTTGTCATGCAGCAAAAACGATTTGTTCAACCATAACGAAGGTAGCATGGCAAAAAAAATGTCCAATTGTATCATGAGCGTGGAATTTTGGAAAAGGATGAATTTCTCACATTTCCGCTGTTTGATGTGTTGGTTACCGTTGATGCCATCTTCCTCGTAATATGAATCTTCAAATACGCTTCTTCCCATCACAGAATCGGACATTCCTTAAAGTTACAGTATAGCAGATTGGCATATTTAAATGTTCATCGTTTCTTGGGCCATTAAACAGACAATAATTACTCGAAGCCAAGTCCACAAACTTGCACAAACCTTAAGTTCGTGCCTAGATTAGATAAGCGAAGGCCATGACCAAGCCAATTATAGTGTAGGAATCACAGAAAACACGAAAACCAGCTCTAAGCTTATAGATGAAAGATATTTGCCCAAACAATGTAATGATTTATGTAATCACTTTCTTTATGTGTATTAAACCAGGTTTCCTTAGGTAAAATCTTGTAAAATTTGGGAAAAGTACGAATAGAAGTGCACTTAAGCCTGCCCTAACTGGTAGTGGTGAGCAGTAGTTTAAAACATTCAAAGATAGCCATGGTAAAATGAATGCTGGCATTGAATGAAATGTGAGCCACTTTGCGGCCGCAAAGCACGTCCAAATGGTTATTTAGATACGCTTATATATCCATGCTGAAAATTCTGCATTCAAAGTTA